CTTCGGAAGGCTACAGTTAATCAACAGCTCCATGAGAGGATAATCTGCACAAAAGGCAAAGCCCCTCATCCAACAGTTATGAACTTGGAAAAGGAATTTTGTCTTCAAACCTGTGATGTTAGATTAGATACAAGGAAGGAGCTTTTCTGTGTGAGAGTGCTGAGGCACTGGCACAGGGTGCCCAGAGAAGCTGTGGCTGCCCCATCCCTGGCAGTGTTCAAGGCCAGGTTGGACACAGGAGCTTGGAGCAAGCTGCTCTAGTGAAAGGTGTCCCTGCCTGTGGCAGGGGTTTGGAACTGGGTGAGCTCTTAAGGTCCCTTCAACACAAACCAGTCTGGGTTTCTAGGATTGTATCTTTGAGAGTTGTATCAGTGCACCAGCTGTTTGTGAGGTGAAGCACAGGCTAGTGGGAGACTCGGGGGTATAAAATGAGAAAGTGTGAGAAGGTAAAAATAAGGGGGTTTTGGGTTTTTGATGGTAACAACACTGTATCCAGTAATGATTAAAGCCACCCTTTTATTTCACAATTGTTCCACTACCTGATGAGTCTGGGTCTTTCCAGAAATGGAAATCACTAACTGGAATTTACTTATTAAAAGCATGGAAATAACTCTTTTTGATAGAACTGTTTTTCTTGTTTTGAACAAGTAATTCTGTTTAATATGGCATATGATCTTATTTTGAATTGGGATTCCTCCTGAATCCCAGCATCAGTCATGCAGAGAAGGCCTGTTAGAATTCAGTTGGCATCTTCTTAAATATAAAGCAAATTTTATCCCGTGCCAATCAGCAGGAGCAGATATTTGAAGTTTTAATTTTGGGAGGGTAATTTCTATCTTTAAACAATGCTGAAGCCCAGTCTGCTTTTATTTCCCATTAAATTCTCTTAAATCTATTCTGTTCAGGTTTCAATCACGAGTAAAGGGAATACATTCCTGAATTCATACAGTGTTGCCTCCAGAGCAGTAGCAATTGAAAGGTGGCTGAATTTTAACTCATGGGTGTGTTGTTATGGTGACACAAGTTCCTATTTGCCTGCTCTAAAAGCTTAACGAGGTACCTGAGATTATTTTACTGATACTTTACATTGCAGTGAAAGGTTTCTTTTTCAGATGGAGTTTAAATTGTGTATATTTAAGTACTTTTACAGAAGGTTATTTTTATCATTAAAGTTTTTATTTTGGGGGGAGTCAATGGAAAAATGTCTTTGTAGACACTTGGACTGTTATTCAAAGCTTATTTGCAGAATCTGGAATCAACCTTAATGTGTAAACCAAATCTAAACATAGTCCATCAAATGTAAGTTTGTGAGACCAAGCATATCTGGCTTTCAACATTTCCTGATGACAAACTCATTGCTAAGTCTTTTATATATGTAGTTTATACACAGAACTTACTGTGTTAAGCTTAAAACATGTCTGAAGTATTCGTGTTATAGTGATTTTTTCACTATACTCTGGGAGAGCCTTCTCCTTCCTGCCTGAGGGTTGTGTTATAAACCTGTGCCACAAACCTGGCCAGGAGAGGACTGATCTACAGCACGGTTTGGCAAGCCTTACTTCTCCCCAAAAAACACTTGGCTACGGTGCTTAAACAAATTTGATGGAACCCTGGGTCAAAGCAACAGTTTCATATGGCTGTAGAGCTAGCATGGGCCTTGAGTGCAAGGAGGGCAATTCGCTGACTGCACTTGATGTCATGAGTAAAAGTAGAGTAAGAGTATAAATGCTGAGCAACAGCAGAGTTCAGTTGAGCCAGTAAGGCTATAGTGAAACCAAAGTTACAGGAGCTTTAGTTACTTTAAGAAGTTGAATCTGATGCCAGGAACGTTACAAGCCAAAGGATGAACTCATCCAGAGTATCAAGCTTCAGTACTATTAGAAAGCAATGAGTATCAAACAGTGAGTAGTGAGCAGCTTTGAAAGTGCTTTTGGCATGAGACCATGAAGGCTGGGCTTAGCATAAATCCATTTCAGGACACAATCTTACATTCAGCCTAGAGGTGCAGTAAATATAACCGTTCCAATTTAAGAAGTTAAAATAACTTTACACTTGTGTCACCTCCAGAAGCTAAACTGCAAATTTTCCCTTGGTGAACTTTCAGAGAGGAGGAGGTTCTAATAGCAGTGGCAGGAGGGCTGGTAGTAAAACCAACCTATTGGGATATCAGAAAGGTGTTGGCCACACATCAAAAACCTAATGGATTTCAAAGAGGGAAGGAAAGCCATAAAGTGTTTTTGACTTGGTGTTTATCTAAAGCAATTGCCAACAATAATTAGGGGAGAATGCAAGCTTAGCAAGTACTGTTCAGATTTTCTTCCTTCAAACCACGTTTTCTGAGTTAAGTCTTAAGAAATACATGTTGCTTTCATGTTAGGAATCAAAACACAGATAAAAGTAATGAAGTCATTCTAAACTTTGCATAGCAGGCTTCGTTAACTTGCACATACTAAATTCAAGCAATCAGCAGGAAAATGTTGATAAGCCATTTCTGTGGATGAATAGGGGCAGGTTCTTAAGAATGTCCTGGAAAGAAATGAGTTTCATGACCTCTTTTGTCTTCATTAAAGCCTAAAGAAGGCCCAAAAGGGAGTATTAAGCTTTTCCATAGTTCAGGCTACTTTTGAGTAGAGATTTGTCTTACAGAATTCTTCAGCTTCTTGCAGACAAGTTATTTAGCTTACCTGTGGCAAGGCTAGTGAGCAGGTATGTAAAACAAAAAGAAGAGAGAACTTGGTGACCGCTCTGCTTCCCAGAGCTCATGTCACATCCTTTGCACTTTGGATAATTGCCATTTGTGAAACGTGCTCAGAAAGTTCTGCCTCTATTTATTCTCTTACAACTAAAACCTATCTTTGCCCATGAAGCAGCTATTTGAGTTACCTGTTTTTCCATGGCAGTTGGTTTGATTTTGAGTCAAGCGATGACCAGCGGGCGGCTTCAAGTGTCTGTGTTGTAAGCAAGGAACAGGGTAGAGTGGCTACCAAGATCCTGTTCAAGGATCCTTAAATGTTCTAAACTAAAAGCAGAAAGTATATGAACATAACCAGTATTTTAATTTGGGGGAAACTGATGCAGTACTTAAAGCTAAACACTTATACTTACCTGTACTGGCTCTTCAGTCGGAAGAATGTCCTTATGGCTGTGCTGGTTTGGGCTGGGGTAGAGTTAATTTACTTCACAGTAGCCAGTAGGAGGCTATGGTTGGATTTGGGTTGGAAGCAGTGTTGATCATACAGGGATGTTTTGTTATCACTGAGCAGTGCTTATGCAGAGTCAAGGACTTTGCTCCTCAACCCACCCCACCAGTGAGGAGGCACAAGAAGTTGGGGGGACATAGCCGGGACAGCTGACCCCAACTGACCAAAGGAATATTGCAGATAATACGGAGTCATGCTCAGGATATAAAGCTGGGAGAAGAAGGAGGAAAGGGAGGACGTTGGGAGTGATGGTTTTTGTAGGCAAGATGGAGCCCTGCTGTTCTGGTTATTGCTGAAGGAGATTGAATGGGAAATGATGAATGGATTTCTTGTTTTGCTTGTGTGCACAGCTTTTGCTCTACCTATTAATCTGTCTGTATCTCAACCCACGAGTTTTCTTGCTTTCACCCTTCCAGTTGTGTCTCTCATCCCTCCAGGAGGGAAGGAGTAAGGAGCTGCATAGGGCTGAGCTGCTCATTGGGGTTAAACCACAACAATGCCAAAATAAGATTGGGTCTTTGTATCGTTTTTGTCCCTAAATGCTGATATTCTAGTAAGCATCTCTTCTCTGTTACTGTTTGAATTTGTATGGTTCCATTCTCAAACTTGTATTTCAGACTGTATTCAAGTTGACTCTCACATTGCCAGCTTTTTAAACCTGAAGTTCAGGAAAGTCTAAAGGTTTTTTTACCAGTATTCTGTAATGATTGTGTTAAATTTCCCTGCAATGGCCTCAGGTGTGTGGCATGTTCTCTTGCTTTCCTTAAAGAGTTTTCTAGCACTTTAGAGCCAGTTCTTCTGACACGCAGCAGCAATATAACATTATTATTCAGTGTTAGTAGCATCGACTGGGTTCATAAAAACAAGGAAGTTTTAACTTGCTCAACGATGCTCTTATGTGTATGATTCTGGTTAAATTAAGTCACAAGGGGTCTGTAGATGAGGTTAATGAGATTCAACTGCAGTGTGTGTATATCTTTTGAAAGCTTGAGGAATTATGTTGTGTTCATCCAGCTAGTCCTTGCACTAACTCTGTTGGGGGTCAGACTTGAAGTAAAGGCATGTGCTTAACTTCATTCTACTACAGGAGGACAGAAACCTGTATAAGTGATGCAAAAAAGATGGGGTAGGAAGGCCTTGGAGTTTTACATGGGAAGGTAATTTATTGCCTGATGCTTACCTAAAGACAACAGCATGGAGGCTCCTTGCTGGACTTAATACACTTTTCACAACTGGGGTGAGGGAGCACTCTGTGCTGGTAGATATCGGAAGAGGTTTTAGTCAGTAAGTGCAATAGGCAACAACGGTGAGTTGCTTCTGGTCAGTTGTGTTTGAAAGCATTTTCACAGATAAAGTTTCACTTCTGTCAGTGGGCTCCAGGGGGCGTTAATGTGAATTTTAAAATTAATAAAATTTAAATAAATAAAATGTAAATATATATAAATAAAATAAATATATATAATATTTTTATATATATAAATAAAAATAGAATAAATGTGAATGTGAATTTTAAAATATGGCAGTGGAGGCATGCTCCGAAATATCACCATTAGAAATGTGTGATGCATGATTTATCTTTTCACGCAACACAAATACAGTTACTTTGCAAGCTAGGTTCTGCTTCCAACCATGATTCAAGAAGACTGCTCTGTAGAGCAGCCCTGCTTTCATCTGCTGTTCATCTGCAGATTAGTTTTATTGCTTCATACAGCTTTCATTATGCCTATTGTAGTTGCATGCATTAAGATCAGAGGGACAATCTGCATAACTAATTTTTATGTTCTCTGCTTCTCTTCACAGTTGATGAAGGTCGGATCAAGGAACTGGGCAGGGTGAGAGTGCTCCACAAGAGAACCGTCATGCCTTACAGTGTGTATAAGAAAAGACGGAAGGGACCAAGTGATGAAGCCAGTGTCCAGCAATATGCAAGTCTGGTTGGACAGACCTGTTCAGAAAGAATGTTGTTGTTTAGAAGTTGAGGAATGGTGAAAAGGCATTTTGACGGCGCCTCATTTTATTGCACTGCCACTGGGTGATATGTACTATAGTTGTGTGTTGGTATGCCTCCTCAAATAGCAGTATGAACTACAGGTATATATCTAGGCTTGTGTGAATACATGGTACTGTGTTTTAAGGCCAATTCCAATAAAATTTGCAGTACAGCAAGGCTTTAGCAATATAAGGTTAGAAAAACATGCTTGCAATATATTTTAATGAAGTAGCTCTAGCCTTTCTATGCATTTTGAATAATTCTGAGTGTCTAAGCAAAATGAAAAACAGGTGTCTTTTTTTTTTTGTAGAGACAAAAGTTGACTAAATCTACATTAACAATAATTAAAATTACAACTGGTTTCAAATAGCACCTTGGATATCTGTCATTAAAAATTGCCATGAAATTCATGCTCACATTCGTATGCTCCTAGACTCTTGCAAAGAGAACTGGAACGTGCTGTGACTTTCTAACGTGAAATCTGGCATGGTTTGGTTTTTATTTCAATAGTATATTTAAAAACAGGAAGAAATTATTTTCACTGCACCTTCTTCATTTGTTTGAAGCAGTAGGTTAGTGCCTGAGGTCCTGGTGAATGTAGGAGTTCACAGTGGATTCTTAGTGGCAGGGGATGCAGTGCTTTGGAAAACTTTCCCCTTTAGAGATGAAACAGAATAGTTGCACTATAAATATACCAAAGATACGCAGCCAAGAGGCACAGTGGGTTTTTGGTATAAGCCTTATCCTTTGTCTAAAAAGAGTGGATATTTTAGTATCAAAATTTCCACTAATGTGAAATAGAGCTTGGAAGGTTTATCCTGCAGCTCTTTGGTGCACATTTCAGAACTATGCTAAAAACGCCAGACATGAGGTACCACTGCTGGGGTTTGTTGCAATTGTTTTTTCTTCTGAATTGCATGGGAAGGCTTAAATATCATATTCCTGCATTTTTTACTGTTTTGTTTATGGTGCAGCAGCTCACAGGTTAACATCTTGTATGTTAACATCTTAATACCATTGTATTAAATACTTCTGTTGGAAACACAGGAAGTTGTGATGCTTTGTGAAAGCACTTTATTAACTCATACCTGAATGTTGTCATTAGTAGCCTGCGTGCCTATCAAGTCATAAAAGTTATAGGCATTTGAGTATAATTCAGTAATGTATAACAACATTGTAACAATCCCAATGCATTTGTGTTTCTTCATGGGTAACAGAAGCTAGTATTTGCCTTGAATCAACTTGAAGTTTCCTGTTAACTCTAGAAAAAAGATTCTTATTCAAGAACACATGTGTAGATGGTTTACACCAGAAAGGAACCAAATTCCACTTTACCCTCTGAAGCTTACATCTATCATTCATGGCTTTGATTTAATTTTAAACACTTGGCCAATATTATTAATCATTGATTTGTATGTGAAACAGGGGATTCAAGTGCATCGCAGATTTAACTTATTTTCCATATCTTTTTGATCATTCTAATAGCATTGATAACAGAGTACAGCTTCAGCAGTGATTTCAGAAAGTCATTGTGTTTTATTAATTGGGATGTAGTGTATTGATCTGCTCCCAGCCTGCAACAAAATTGTTTCATTCTGTCAGCATTGTAGCTGGTATGTGTTAATCTTTTGCCTGGTACCAAGACGTTTCTGTATACTGTACCATGTAACTTGTCCATGTCTTATCTAAACCTGTTGCCATGGGGGAACCATTAAATACTACTATGAACATTAGTATAAAGAGTTCATTTCTGTGGAGAAGATACTCTTGCCACTCAGTGAAATGTCAACTAGTATAATGTTGTCTGTCTACACAGTATGTTGAAAAGCGGTGATGCCCGTATGGCCTAAAACCAAAATAGGTGAGAAAACCTTTTTGTATGATATAAAATCAGTTAATGGGCACAGACTTGCAAAATCCTAAAGATTATCAGTTATGGAGATTACCATTTCATGATGGCCTCGCTGTGCTCCTGGAGAAGTTAAAGTTTCTGTTAAATAGCACAGGAGCAGACATAATGTCACCACTGAGAGTTCTTGAAGAGCTCCGTCTTTTTGTGCCCACTGTTTGCTACTGATATGCCTTCTAGATATGTGTTAGACTGCTGTCTGATGCTGTTTCTCTTGGGGAGCTTTTAATGACTGCAGTTAAGGAAAAGTGACATAAGATTGAAAGGTGATTACAGCATAAGGTTGTTGTTAGTGTGACCAATAAAGGTAAATGACCATTTCCTGTGAATTCTGAAATGGTGCTTTCGCTTTCTGACCTCCACTGGAACTGCAGCATCACATCATGCTGGGCTTGGGACTATTCCTGAACTCAAATAGGTATATATCTCTGTATATGCATATATATACATGTAAAAATTCAGTTGAGTTCATCTGATGTATTAAGGTGAGATCTGACTCACTTCTTTAGTGTTATTTCAGAAGGAAATCAGTGCAGTATTTTTTCAGGACCGATACCTCTGCTTTCGAAGTGGAATAGAGTCCAAGGATGAAGTTCTGTAAACTTTGCCACTGACTTCAGTGGAGCTAAAAATTCACCACTATTACAAATTTATTTAATAAGATATTGTCATTGAGAATTACTGAATTTAGAGATATTTAATTTAGTACAAAACTATTTTATAAGAGGGTTTTTTTTTGTGTACTTAGTTTGTGAGAGTTAATCCCTAAAGTAAGATTGCCTTGTTCTATCATCTGTTGATAAATGAGCATGAAACAGTGGTAAGAAAATGCAGAGCTGTGACCAGGGCTAAAAATACCATTCTTTGTTTTAACTGGAAATAAATGGGTAGCTTGCTCATTTCCAGCATCAACACGTTTCAGTAAATGCAGAAGAACCCGCATGTTGAGTTTGCCCTGTTTGACTTGCAAGTATAGAAAATAAAGTTATTTCTAGTCTCTGTGAATTACTCTAAGTACTAGCTCTGAGTGTGGCTTCTGTATTACTTTGCAGCTTTTTGCAAATGGAGACTAGATAGGAGTAGCTGTTTATTTTAGTTAGGCTGTACCATTTGTAGTTGGTTGAAAATAACCCTTTCACTGAAATAAGGAGCCAGACAAACACCACAGAAATCTGTATTATGTGTACAAAGATAAAAATACTGATTTGTTCTCAGTGAATGAGGCAGGATTCCAGCTAATTCTGGCTTCCTGAATGAGATTTTTATTGAAGGCCAGTGCCACCGCAGCTCAAAATTTTGGTGAGACTCTCTCTCATTGAACCTTTGGAGTCTACATCCATCAATCTTTTTGAAGCTCTGTTAATATTATAGAATCCTGGAATGGTTTGGGTTGGAAGGGACCAAATCCCATCCAAGCTGGCCTTGAACACTGCCAGGGATGGGGCAGCCACAGCTTCTCTGGGCACCCTGTGCCAGCGCCTCAGCACCCTCCCAGGGAAGAGCTTCTGCCTAAGAGCTCATCTCAGTCTCCCCTCTGGCAGGTTAAAGCCATTCCCCTTGGCCTGACCCTATGGGCCCTTTTAAAAAGTCTCTCTCCTGTCCCTGTCAGGTGATTGCTCTGAATTCCCTCTCATTCTGTTAGTCCCATATAATCCTTCAAACATGAATTATGTGCTCTCCTCCTGAACCTTTCCATCTCCAGCATCCCCCCGCAAGCTTAATGGTTCTTTTTGCTCATTCTGTCCCAGTCCTGCTACAGAAAGTCTGCATTTGAAAGGGTGTAGATAATATTTAGGGCAGAAATCATCACCACATTTCAGGGACATCATCAGTGTTTCCAGCAGCATCGTAGCCACATATTGTACCCAATATATTTAGAAAACTGCACCTTCAGAACCTCTTGCATATGATCTCACCTACTGAGCATAAAGAAAGACAGATTATGTTTCCACTTGCCAAATGATTTGTTTTCCTAAGCTAGTCGAAGTGATGGAGCATTTCCAAGCCCTGACTTCGTGGCTTTCCTTAGGAGGCCAGGGTGGTGAGCTGTGTTCCTCGGTCATGCTGGAGCGTCAGCTGAGGAAGGTGCTGCAGAGGGAACACTGAGGAAGGGTTGGTGATAACCCAGCGTGATGGAGAGGAACCAAAGGTGGCTGCATTAACAGGTAAGGAGCCATGTGATTTGCCTTTAGTTATGAGAGAGGTATTAGTCTCACTGGGGAAATAAAAATGCACTGTGGAAAACAAATTGTATAAATAACACCATTTATACATGGTGTTAACCATGTATGTTAGCCGTAGCTGCTAACAAAATGAGTATAACAGATAGGAGGGTTATAATAAGCTCATTTTATAGAAGTGTTTTTGGAAAACATGGTTAATAAGTCACCAAGTATACAAGCACTTGCTAAACAGAACAATATAAATGCATAAAATAGTATTTATAAATTAATCTGCTGTGTGCATTTTATAGCACATTTAAAGCTCATCTTGAAAGCTTTAGTTTTGAACAGTATTAAAATAAGTAGGAATATAAATAGATTGAATTAGCGTACAAGCCTAAGTATAGCATATGTTAATGCTATCAATATTAATATGAAACAATACTAACTCAAAGCAGTGACTCTTACTGATCATCTTAGACAAGTAACAGCTCAGAAGCTTTCTGGCTGCATCTCTTCATGGTTATGTGTTAATATTTTGATGTTTATTCATTCCCTTATTATAAGTATTCCCATCAGATTTTTGTGCTTCCCATCAGTTATTTCCACTTGGGTTTTGACACATAATACATGTGTCTGCCAAAAGTCCTGCTGAGAGATTGCTATCAGGACAAAAGAAAGTGTTGGAAAGTCTGTTAAGCAGCGAGAAGGGGGCTCCGCAGGGACAGTCAGTCTGCAACCTTTGTGCTGCACAAAAAGCAGGGTTTATTTACAGTTTAGTCTGCTGCAGGCTTTAAAATAAATGTGTCGGTTTTCATTCATTTCCCTTGGTCGCTGACATCTGATTGTCATTGTCCAAGAAGGATCAATGGAGCGTCGTGGAGTATTAAAGAGAAATAATATTTTCAGGTCAGTGTACTGCATCCTTGGCAAAAAGCTTGAGAATGAAATTGCATGAACTGGTGACAGAGGGGAGATTTAGAACGGATATTAGGAAGTTCTTCCCTGTGAGGGTGCTGAGGCGCTGGCACAGGGTGCCCAGAGAAGCTGTGGCTGCCCCATCCCTGGCAGTGTTCAAGGGCAGGTTGGACACAGGGGCTTGGAGCAAGCTGCTCTAGTGGAAGGGGTCCCTGCCCGTGGCAGGGGTTGGAACTGGATGAGCTTTAAGGTCCCTTCAACCCAAACCAGTCTGTGGCTTTGTGATTTCTATGGATTCTGTTGAAATTCTCACTTGATGTCTGTGCAGGAGCAGAAGAGTGCAGGCTGGATGGGACTTCCAAATCCTGTTTGCTGCTTCTCCCCTGTCTTCCCTTCTTGAGGCTGGAGTAAGAATATGTCCACCATCCCTCACATGGGTGAACCTCGCTGTTTGCATTAATCTCTAGTGAAGGTGGTTCAATAGGCTCCTTAGAGTGATTTTTCTACAGGGAACAGTATCCTTGTTATTGAAATCTTTACAGCCTGGTTTCTAAGCTTCATATTTTTGGTTGCACGTGAACCTGGCTCATTTCGACCTACCTGAATATGAAGAGTGATCATGGAGGCTCCTCCTTGCAGCAGCTCTACACGCTTTAGAAGACTGTTGCCAAGTCAACCTGCTGGTTTTTTTTCCCTAAACTAAGTGATCCCTATCACCTTTCAAAACAGTCAATTTTATTAAGCTATTTCATTGAGTTTTCTGAAGTGTTCTCCCCCTTGGACCACTTTTTTAGTGTGGTGCCCGGCTGCCAACTGCTCCAGTAACAAAAGTCATCATGATGTCAGTGTTTTATATCCGCAAATAAATGTTGCTTTTCCAAAATAATAATTGTCACGATCCTAACTTTTAAACACAGATCCCGATTTTCTGTTGCTCTACCACACGTCAGGGAAACAGAGTGAAAAGCCAACCCTTACTATACCAGCAAACATAGTTTTTCCTCTCCTTAAATGCTCCCGACCTGAAGCCAGCAGAGGGCATGTTCCAGCTTGCAAAGTTCATCGTCGCGCTAACCCTGCTCCTTGTTTGAGGAGCTAAATTTTCTGGTTCTCTTTTACTAAGGTCTCCTCCTGGGTTTTAACTTTTTACTCTGCTCTTAATTGTGGTGTCTCAGAAAAAAAACCCACAAATGTGATCAACTGAAGTTGAGAAACTTCTGTGCTTCATCAGTAGAATGAAGCACGAATTTGTTAACAATCAGGATTAAAAGCTATTTCAATAGTGTGGCTTTTATAACACTAGATTTATTACATATACTACCTTGTCTACTGCTGCAGTTCAGATCCACAGGACACTTAAGGAGGGGTCCACCTGGAAGAGTTACCTATCACAGAATGCTTCCCATGTGGTTCCAATCAAGCTCAGTGCAGTAGGAGCATTAATAATGTCTAATACACTGTTGCATGCATTTTGACAGCTGCTCTCTCTATGGGATTGCAACAGCTAAGTCAGGGCATCCCAGGAAAA